ATCCTGAGGTGCTGTGTGAGAATCCTCCATTGATCAATGAATGTCCATTTAGTTGTAGTTTGAAGGGGGAGAGACAAAGAAAACCGCTCATTCCGCCATGTTGCTGAAGTCACTCCATTATCATTAGTTTTATTATTATCAGGACATTCAAAGTTGAAACTATAGGAGCCAATGCAGATGTTTCTCATTTTAACCAGCAGATGGTGCTCATGCTGTGTTTAAATTCTGAAAAGTCTTAAAGATACATACATATTCATATTTTCTATTTTTACCACAAAGAGTCAGGAAAAAAATCTTTAAAAAGGCCATTGTCTGTGCCATGGGGAGATAATTAGGGTATGTAAAACAGCTGATACAGTAATTAATAAGAGCAGTGACTTGAGAGTCTTGAAAAGCTTTGCTGCACAACTGCAGGAGAGTAATTGACCTCACTGACATAAGAAAAAAGTCACGAGCTCACACACAGCAGGGAAAAGCTGCGTTCTTACCTCTGTGGGTTTAGAACCAAACCAGGGAATCCTGGAGCTGTGCTTTGGAGCAGCACCTGGGAAAGCTTTGAAGCAGAATGTTCTGAGAGGCAGGGTCTCTACTACCTGTTCTTATATGTATTCCCGGGGCCTCAGGCAATGATTGGCACATAGTAGATGCTCGATAAACATGAATGCCCAGTCTTGCAATCCAGGTCTCAGTGTCCTCATGGAATCCTGGATAGACTTGGAAATTCTGGGGTCTTATCTCCATTAGATGCTGTGGCCCTGGATCTGGCCCTCATTGTCTGGGTATCACTTGTCCTTCATGTAAAATGAGGAAGTGAAGTAGATATGGTGACCCTGGCTGGATTCTATTTGGATACATCCTCAAGTCAGGAGGAAATGGATGACCATGGGCAAGAGCTGCCAAGTTCACGGCGTTTTGGTTGGAGAATCTGTGGAAGCATCCTGGCAGGAAGCAGTGGCTGTGAAGGGATTACATGAGCATCACCTGAATTCTGTTCCTGCCTGGTCTTGCTGCACAACCTTGAGTATGTGACTTCATCTTAATGTTCCTCCTTTTTGATGGAGCAGCTGTGCCTTAACATTTGCTTGAATGGGTAATGAATGACATAGTCCTCAAGTAGTTTGTAGAAATAGAAATATATTCTAGGCGCTGACTCTATTACCCGTGTTAGAGGTGGCCAGTAAAGAGTTACTGGGACATGTTGTTTGGATTTTATCTCTAATATATTCCTCATCTGGACCATTTTCCATATCTATCCGGATCCATGGAGCCCAGGCCTTGTCTTCCATCCTTGCTGAGGGTGGTGGCCATGGAGATATACCACTCAGGTCTCCTTCAGGAGAACCTGCTGCCTGCCGAGAGCAGAGTTGGCCATGACACTGAGGTCATGCTTCCTCCAGGCTGCTCCCAGCCTGTGACTGAGCCTGGCAGGGCTGCCTGCTTGCTGTGAGGTCCTCTCACGAGCAGCTCTGGCTTTGAGACTCCCCATCATCCGGGTTCAGCTGCAGTCTGAAGCTCTTCTTCCCTAGTCCTTCCTTCGCTCTCCCGTTTCACAGGTCTCGGACCTCATCACTGTCTGCAGGGCCTCCCAGTCTTCTCCATTCCTTCCCCCTCTATCCTTCCCTGGTAATGAGTCTTTTGTATATCTAATTCCATCATGGCATTTGCTTCCTGCAGGACCTGAACTGGCATATCAGGCCACTGCCGGATTAAGTCCTGGTCTCGTTTTTGACCCATTCTCTGTCCTCCAGAGAATGGGGTTAACTTGTCCTCTTTGTGGATTTGCAGAAAGCAAAAAGTAAACTTCCAACAAACGACTATTTAAACAAAAGGGGTTAGTTACCTTTAACCATCAGGGTATGGGTTACAACAAGGCTACCTATTCATCACATTGGGGAGTCTACAATAGTTAGCTTTTGCTTGGTTTTGCTGCACTTTTAAACCTCAAAACTTCAATGGCTTCCAAGCCCAAAGGTATAGTTCTCATTCACATTACATGTCAGCTGCGACCCAGGTGTCGTCTTCACATATGTCATCCTCCAGGATCCAGGCAGAAGGAGCAGCCCCATTTGGGATGTGCTGTTGTCTTGCAAGAGGAAAATGAGCAAGAAAAGTAGGTAAAACCATGAGATGGTTCTTAGAGATTCTCCTGGGCCTGGCATATATCACTGCCACTTGCATTTCATTGGCCAAAGCAAGTCACCCGACCAGGCTGATTGAAAGGACGGAGACGTATAATCCCTCCCATCCTGGAGGTCCTGTGAGTCACATGACAGGGGGCAGGGATGTATAATCTTACCAGGAGGACAGTGAATAACGATAAGCAATAATACAATGTACTGTTGATCCTCATTATTCACAGATTCCATCTTTGTGAATTCACCCACTTGCTAAAATTTATTTGTAACCCCAAATCAATACTCCCGGAACTTTTGCAATCATTTGCAGACATGCGCAGAGTAGCAAAAAATTTGAGTTGTCTGATGTGTGCGTTCCCAGCTGAGGTGGAACAAGGCAACACTTGGCCTCGTGTTTCAGCTTTCATGCAGAGATGAGCAGAGGATGGAGAGAGAAATGGGCAGGGCAGTGTAGGAAGCTCTGACACGGGCCAGTAGGACCGGATTTGAATCCCAACTCTAGCTCCTGTTAGTGGGGTGGTCTCAGGCAAGTCACTTAACACTTCTGAACTTAATTTTCTCTTATGCACTAGTATTTCTCCTGGGAGTTGTGGTTCACTAATTCACTAATTCAGTGTTCTCAGCAACTACCACCCAGAATAATGGGAATCGATCGCATTTGAGTGTTACTGGGGGCCGGAGGAAGTGCATCTTTCTTCACTACCCAGGTTCTGAACCAATTGAGAAATCACACAAATGGCTAAGATGTGGAGACTAAAATGTCACCTTTATTATTGATGAAGATGGACAGGCTACAGTGAGAACCCAAATGGGCTTGCTTATTCCTTGTCCATGGTCTAGTCTCTTACGGTAAGTTTTGTATCTACAGGGCAGACACTTTCTCAGATCAGTGCTACCCATAGGTCTGGGTGGAGAGAGAAGGAGAAAGAGACCAGAGACCCACACTCCCCGCCTTTCATGGATTAACTCGTCCCTATTGAGAAATATGGACCAATGGCTGTTGCACACGGACCAGGAAACTCATCCCACCTCTGTGGGGGCAAGCAAGGGGCAGGGGCTGGAAATATTTGGGGAAGAATTTTTCCCCATGGCCAGCAGGTGTAGGAAGGGGCATTCCCATCTAACACACCAGAAGAAGATGCAGACCCAACTGTGGGCTTAGTGGATGTGTTGGGGCCTCCCTTCTGTCACTGCTGTATGCTGACAGCTGTCCTAGTCTCTGATCTCTAACATATAATCAGGAAAGGAAAATCATAGCTGAGGTCCTGCTGGGGAGGGGACGTGTAGATACCCTGATCCAAGACATCTGGCCAATTTCTCCTTATGGATCGTTTTTATAGAATCTGCTTGCCTAGGGCTGCAGATAAAATCATTGCTGCCCACTTATTCTCCAGTCAGTCTGAACCTGTGATGGAATTGTTCCCCCAGTGGTGGGCAGTAAGGAGGAGGGGAAGCCAGATGTTGGTTGGACCTCGGGCAACGGGGAAAGCTGAGGTTGACTTCTGTTGTTATGATCTTGGTTGGCATTATATGCAGGCAAGGAACCGGGGCATTAAGATTGACAGGTATCATCCACGGAGCAGGCAGTTCAAGAGAACAATTCATCTTTATTCTTTATCTTTTTCTGCAAGATCTTCCTGGTAGCTTTTTAAGGCTAAGCACTAAGGCTGTTTCCTTGGTTACAAAAGCTCACTTACTAGGGCGGAGGTGGGGTGCATGCACCACCTTGTAGGTACCCCAAGTGGCAAATTGCAGGGGTGTGCTTATTAGTTTCTTAGGGCTGTCATAACACAGTACCACAACTAGGTGACTTACAACAGCAGAAGTTTAGTCTCTCACAGCTCTGGGGGCTGGAAGTCCAAACCAAGGTGCGGGCAGGCCTGAGCTCTCTCTGAAGGCTCTATATAGGGAGGAGCCTTCCTTGCTTCCTTGCCTCTTGCTAGCTTCTGGTGGTTTTCCAGCAATCCTTGGCTTGTAGATGCGTGACTCCACTCTCTGCCTTTGTCTTCACGTGGTCTTCTCTGCTGTGTCTCTGTGCCCAATTTCCTCCTTTTTATAAGCACACCAGTCATTGGATTAGGGCCCACCGTCATCCAATATGACCTCATCTTAACTTGATTACATCTGCAAAGAATTTCTTTCCAAATGAGATCACCTTCACAGGTTCCAGATGGACATAAATTTTTTGGAAATACTATTCAACACAGTACAGTGCCTCTGTAGATATGTGTGTGGAATGCATGCAAAACAGGCCTTATATAAAATCCGTTATTTCATCTGATCCTATCAATAATTTAAAATTGTGTGATTTTTTTTCTGATTGACCTGGAGTCTAAGTCCAGCAACAAAGGAGACAGATAACTCAAACAAATAAAAAGATCAATGGATACAAATTGGGGTGGTTATTAGGGGAGAAAATGATGGAGTGAGGGTCTGGTTTAGATTGGGATGGGGATTAGCAAGAACTCTGGGAAGGTGACGTAGGAGCGGAGGTCTGAAGCGTGAGTGGGACTTAGCCAGGAGAAGAGGGGACGTGGAATGTTCCAGGCAGGGCAGGCTGCCAAATTTGAAAGGAGCTTGGTGGGTTTGAGGGGATGAAGGGAAAATTGGTACAGACGGCAGGGCAAGAACAGAATCAGGGAGATAAGTGAGGAGGAGAGTTTAGAAGTCTGCCTGAGAGATGATGGGGGCTTAGATTTTGGCAAGAGAGATGAGAAGATGGGGTGGAGTTTGAGAGAAATTTGGAGGACGGAACTGAAGCGAGGAAGGTGCTGTCCTGGCTGCGTGCACAGATATGTGGGCTCTGACCTGCCGTAGCAAATTTCCTTTCTGTCGATGGCTTACTTCTCACGTTCACTTCTCCAGGTGAGTACGACAGGTGGCATCAGGGAGGAGTGCCCTGGGTCCTGACCACAGCTTTTGGGACCTGCTCACCATCATGCAGCAACTCTACAATCTGCCGACTGAGGTCACTATCTGTTTTAGCCGTCAGACCTCGGGGGACCACTGCCAAATGAAACCAGCTAGAACCACAGCCCCCAAACCCAGGACAGTCTGTCCATGTTCCCCATTCATTTCTAAAGGTGAGTAGATTTCAGAGAACTGTTGGAAATCTCCTCAATCCTGGTGAGAGAAAGAAAGTGCCTGGAGATGAAGCCATTTGTTTCTCAGCCAGGTACCTCAGGGCACATGTCTGCTACCTCTGACGGGACTTTTTGTGGCACTTTGAGCTGCTGCTGGGCACTGGGCAGTGGAGGAAGTTGATGTTTCCTCTGATTGGTGGCAGTTCAGGACTTTGCAGATGGTATGGGAACCCAGACATTTATGGAAATGAGAGAAAACGACCATGAACACCTTTGAAGTTTAATATATGTCTCCTTCTGCTGTCTTCCTCCAAGAAGCCATGAGCAGTAGCATGTGTGTATGTGGTGTTTATGTGTGTCTGAGTGCATGCGTGTAACGTGAATGAGGATGGAGACAGAGTGTGAGAAGCTGCCATTTGGGGAGCTTTCCTGGAATATTCATGCTGAGAATCGGATTCAGAATTGGGTACCATTTGTTGAGTATCTACTATGCCCTGGCTTTCTAGGGGCACATCCATCTGTGTTATTTTTTTTTGGTCCTATGTAACTCAGTGAAATAGGAAACATCATGCGCATTTCACAGGTGAGGAGACCAAGGCTCTGAGAATGCACCAGGTTGCATTCTGTGCTCGCCTCCGTCACTGCTCCCGCCCGGTGCTGCCATGCTGTTGTGTTTGCTCAGCTGCCTTCTGTGCTAGGCTTCCAGTCCTGGAGGCCCCTACCATCTCTGTGTTCCTAGTGACTCTAACCCTGCACCTGGCACATAGGAGGTGCTTGCTGCATTCTTACAGTAGACTTTTTGTTGAAGTTTAACATAAACAGAAAAGTGCATGAATCATAGGTGTATAGCTTGATGAATTTTCCCAAATCCCCGCACCCTATGACCAGAATCAAGAAGCCGAACTAGTGCTATCCTAGAAGCCTCTATAGTGCTCTGTTCCAGTCGCCAAACCCTCCCCTCATCCCCACCGATGGTAGCCATATCCTGATTCTAGCACTAGAGCCTGCTTTTGCCTTCTTCTGAATGTTATAGGGATGAAATCACATCTACACCCTATATTATGGATGTTCATTTATTCTCCCCGCTGTATAGTATTCCATTCCATGAAGATAGCACAATTTATTTGTCCATTCTACTGTAGGAAGACATAAGGTTGTTTCTAGTTTTTGGTTATTATAAATAGGGCTGATGTAAATATTCTGATATAGATCTTTAGGCGAAAAAGGCCCATAAACATTTGATGAAAGAATAATTACTTGCTGTGTGAGAGATCACTCATATTAAAGTATTTTATGAGTGAAGCCCCTAAATCTGTTACATGGAGGGAAGTTCACACGAGTTTGGGGTGAAGTTGGAAATGGAGGAGGATTCCTGAAAGGGAAGTCCTTAGGGAGCAAAGGAGGAGATGGTGCCATGAGTGAGTCCACAGAAAGGCCTGGAAGGGAAGGAGCGGGAGCCGGGGCAGAATCTGAGTGGGAAGCTAAAGGCTTGAATGGCCAACACCAAAGCTTGGTCTTCGTCTGATTGGTGGGAGGGCGTCCTGGATGGCTTTGAAGCTTGAGAGCATGGTTAGTTTTTTTTTTTTTTTTAATTTTTTAAGGGAAATTAAATTGTCCGTAGTTGTCATGGTGAGCTGGGGAAAAAAGACAGGAATCAGGGAGGCCGGGGAAGAGTTTGCTGCGTGAGTTCGGATGTGTGTTAATGACGTTGACAGAGTGGAAAGACCTGCTGGGAGAAACACTGAGAAGAAATAACTTAAAATACTAGTTATGAAGAAGGAGGCCAGGAAAAGGCATCTTTAAACGTGGTTGCTGGGGTTTGAGCTTGTAACAAGAGGAGTCTAGGCAGGTGGGTCAGTGAATTCAGGAAGTGAATGAGGGGCTGCACCTAATGGTTTCGACGTCCTCACTGACTTTTGGGGGCAGGTTATCTATCAGCAGAGCTTGATGGGGGAGGCTCAGGGGAGCAGGAGAATGGAAGGGAGAGAATCAGGTATAACACAGTGGATTCTCAACAAAACACAAAGAGTTATCAGTACCTAGGTAGATGGCTGAGAACCTCCGGAATAAATCCTAATGGTTTGCAATCATTAGTTAACAAAACGTTATGTTCCTTTTTAATCTTTCGAATCTGTCATTTGTGGCATTTTTAATATGAAGTTTCTTGGTTACTTTCCATCCAGGCTGTGTGGGTGTTAACTTGTTTTCCTGCTGTGTCTGCTTCATTGTTCTTTTCAAATAGTCAGATTTGGGCTTTCCTTTTTTTCTGTTGTATATTTTTGTTTCCAATTTATTAACTTTTCCTCTTTATTGTATATTTTCTTTGGATTTATTCTGTTGTCCTTTCCCTAAATGTTTGCAAGCTTAGCTCATTAATTTCCAATCTTTCTTCTTTTCTATTACATTTTTTAAGGCTATGATGTCCCTCGAAGTGCCACATTAAATTCCACAAATTTGACGGATACTGTTTTTCTCATCATTTAGTTATAAATATTTTCCACTTTCCATTTTGATTCTGTCTTTGATCTTCAAGATTTTTTAGAAGTATATTTTATAATTTCTTTTATAAATTTATAAAAATTATAAATTTTATAATTTTCTTTTGCTATTTTTTTTTCAGTTAGCTGCGCTGTGCTTGACAACATGGTCAACATGGTTGACTGTCTTATGTGATGTTAGCAAACACTGATGATCACTACTGAGGTCAGCAGGCTGCAGGCGGTGAAGTGGTCAGCGGCCACCGGGAGCCAAATCCCAATGGCCCCAGTCTTTGAAAATAAATTTTACTGGGATGCAGCCATGCCTATTCATTTGTATATTGTCCACATCTGCTTTGGACCTACAACAGCAGATCTGAGCAGTCGTGACAAAGACCGCACAGCCTATGAAATCTAAAATACTTATTCATCGGTCTTCTACGAAAAAGTTGACCACCCTTTGTACTAGTTCCATTATTTTAGTAGGGTTGCAGAATGGTGATACTGTATTCCTTTTGAAAGTAATTTTAGTTCTGTGACTCTTTTTCATTTAATAGCTGGGGTCCTTCTATAAGCAGAAACTTATGCCATTCAATTATTTGGTTTCCCTGATGTATTGTTTATACAGGAAAGGTAGGATCAATGCTTGATTTTTTTCCTTTTGTTTGGTAGGTTTTAAAAATGAATTTATTTCCTTAAATACGACCATTTAAAATTTACCATTATGATGTATTTGACATGTTTCACAGCACTTCAGTTCTTTGCTTTATATCTTACGTATTTTGATATTGCAAACATATTTTCTGTGTTTTCCTCCATTTCAGCCATTATTCTTACTCATGCTCAAATTGTCCCATCTTTGGACCATGGGAACCTCTTCAAGTGGGCTCCTGAATCCTTTTAATGAGACCCCTGTCATCTTGGATAACTTCTTTGCTCTCTGGTATAACAATATGTTCCAGGCTTATCTCACATATTTCCTGTCCCAGACCTGATAACCATATTTCCTCTTACTAGAGGGTTTCATCTAAATTTATTTTGGTTACTGATATATATTTGGGTTCAGTCCTATCACTTTATTTGACATTTATTAACTTTTTTTATGCTTCTTCCCTACATCCATTTCCTGTGTTTTAATTTAGTTGAGTTTTTTTTAGTCCCCCCTTTCTCTCTGTAACCAGAAGTTATATCTCATATCTCTAATCTTTTAGTGCTTACCCTTAATTTTAACATAGATCTTCACTAAACAAGTCTAAAGTTAAATTAATCTCTGAACTCCTCCTGAAAAAGGCAAGGTCTTTGGAGTATTGTGACCCAAAGCTCCCTCATTTATCTCACATGTTGCTGTCCATTATTTGCATTCAACCTTGTTTTTATCCCAAATTAGTAACCAGGGTTTAATTGAATAATTGATTTATTATTGACTTGTAAATGCTGGTTTAGATACGACTTTTTTTTTTTTCTTCTGGTGAGGAAGACTGGCCCTAAGCTAATATCTGTTGCCAATCTTCCCCCTTTTGCTTGAGGAAGATTGTTGCTGAGCTAACATCTGTGGCAATCTTCCTCTATTTTGTATGTGAGACACCACCACAAGATAGCTAATCACCACAATGATGAGCAGTGTGTAGGTCCATGCCCCGGATCTGAACCTGCGAACCCTGGGCTACTGAAGCAGAGTGTACAAACTTAACCACTACGCCCCTGGGCTGGCCCCATTTTGCCCATTTTTTAAAAAGACCAATTTCCTTGCTCATTAGTCTTTCTAGAACATTCTTTCTGATTTTTCACTTTCCTTCTAGAGGGAACACGTGTGTTAGTAATTTTTTCAGTGAAAATTTGTTAGTGATAAACTCAGATTTACCTCCCTTTTTCTGAAAAGATGTTAGTTTGGCCTGAGGTCTCTGCCTTTCTTAGCTCTACTCTTCTCTGTTGCCTCGTTCTCTGGTGGACCCTCCGCCCATGGAGGCCACGATGTCTCCAGGCTTGCCCTGTCTTTACGGTTAGTTCTCCCAGAGACACGAGAGCATCTGTTTCCTGACTTTTTCCTCACAGGGCTTTGATTTATCTGGCTAAGATCACAAGCTTATCTCTCAATTCATCACTTAGCCTGGGGCTGAAATGTCCTGCTGGGCCAGGCCCAGGGGACCTGCCCTCCAGAAGCCCCAGGATAGTGCCACCAGAACGACACAGCCGAGAATGACACAGAGGTGGCCCTCCAAGTAAGTGCTGGGGTGACCACAGCATCTGTCCGCTATGATTGTCATATCAAATACAGTTAGCATTACATGGCAATGATTTTGTTATGTGTGCCTTTGCTAAAATTAAATTAATCGCTTAGTGTTTAGTTGGGCAAACTTCTGAGCCCATGAAAAGGAGCAACAAAGCATGGACTCAGCGTCCACTCCCTGCTTACCCTCCTCACCCATTCATCTGAGGAGAGGGACCCCAGGTTCTCAGAGCTGCAGTTTGCAGCTCTTTCTCCCTACTTTGCTTTCTTCTCCCCTCTCCCTTCACAGATGTCAT